CTGGAGAAGGCTACTTCTGCATAGCTAACGCTCAAGGAGACATCGAGACTACGAATGGGAGGATTCTTCTTGAGAAAGCAGTTATGCCAAACTTGTTCCTTACAGAGTTCAGTCTGTGTTTTATTACAGCATGTGGAGTTGCAGCCCATGAGGACTCTGCTTTTTGCTTGTAATATTCTATCCTGTCACACCAAAACTCTTCCACTGATGGTGTAGGACAGGTTTAAAAAAAAAAAAAAAAAAAAAAGATAAAAAATATTTAACTGCTAAATAACATGTTAAAAGCAGAGCAATGCACATAAATCTCCCTGAAGTTTAAATCTTGTATGGCATGAATCTGAGCTAAGCAAATCTTGGCAGCAGAATACTCCACAGTGATCCTGAAACTGGTCATGTTGCACTTATGGATCTCTGTTGGTCTCAGATCATCCATAGTAATTACAAAGATGTTTTCAGACTAATTCTTAAAGCTGCCTTTCTTTAGGAGGAATTTTCTTATTAGCAAAAAAGTGAAAGACGTGCCTATCATTTGATACAAATTAATTCAACTTTTTTAATACATGGATTTATTTTTCTCATGTAAATCCAACAGCAATATAAACAATAACAACATCAAACAATCACCAAAACCTGCTAACAGTAAATTTTCTTCTGCAGTTTCTTAGGACCATGGGGATCATAGATTGTAATTTGCTTACTGTGAGTATAAAAGTCTAACAGCATTTTTCCTCTTTATTGTTTGAGGGAATTTTCATTACTAAAGAGAAATATTTCTTAAAACTAGATGGAAAAAAGGCTGGTTGGTGCAGGTTAATAATATGAAGTGTTTGAAAAAGCAGTGCAGATTAAAAGGAATCTAGTACGCTTAAAATACTGCTTTCCTTGTACAGACCAAATGGCCCCTTTCCTGCTGATATTTTGTAAGAGGGTTTTACATATTGTAGTCAAAGTCATTAATAGACACATCATCCAGTTGGGTTCATTCCATTCGTGTAAATGTAGATGAAGACGTACAACTTAGCTTTACCATGCGTCCATCAGATCTACTAATATGCTATTTTTCATAAATAGCATATTACTTTTTTTGTGTAGTTGGTCTCAAAAATATCTTAATAAGATTTTAAAACAGCCTTTTTCTTAGTTGTATCACTGTGATTCAAGTCATATTGTGGAGCTGTTGGAGAGGGTCCATAGTAGAGCCATAAAGATGATGAGAGGGCTGGAGCACCTCCCCTGCAAAGACAGGATGAGGGAGCTGGGCTTGTTCAGCATGGAGAAAAGAAGGCTGCTCAGAGACTTCATTGCAGCCTTTCAGCATTCAAAAGAGGATTATAAAAAGGAGGGGGATCAACTTTTTACAAGGGTAGACAGTGATAGGACAAGGAGGCATTGTTTTAAGCTCAAGGAGGGAAGATTGAATGTCAGTGGGAAGTTCTTCACAGAGAGAGTGGTGAGATGCTGGAACAGGCTGCCCAGAGAGGCTGTAGATGCTCTGTCTCTGGAGATGTTCAAGACCAGGTTGGATGGGACCCTGGTCTAGTACCAGATCTGGAGATTGGTGGCCTTGCCTGTGGCAGGGGAGTTGGAACGTGATGATTCTTGGGGTCTGTTCCAACCCAAGCCATTCTATGATTGTATCTATAATAACATCAAGTGAAAAGGGAGTACGTGCCAACTGTTGCTGTATTAAGTTAAATACTAAAATTACACTTCAGTATATGCAAGTTAAAATATTGTTTCCCGAGACTTCTCCCTTTTCTTTTCAACACAGTGGGACTCTGCAGCGTCAGCTAGATTAGATTTTGATTGCCAGCTTTTCAAAAAGGCTATGCTGGTGGAAAACCAAGCCTGGGGAAGTTGTTGAGAGGTGGAAATCTCCACTGGTATGGGTTATTTTGACGTGTGTTTCTCCAACATTCTGTGATTGATTGTGACTGTGGTTGTTTTAACTGTTTCTTACTGTTTTCCTTTCATCACAGTATAGTGCTCAATTTCTGAGCAGTAACTGAAGCAGAAGAATATATTACCAATTATATGCAACTGATCTGTAAACTTCTGTCTGTGTCGTCCTGTATCATCAGTCCCACACCATTTTCATTTTCTCTTGGTAATAACCCATCTAGGTAAAATACACAGCATTGTAAAATGCTTATTTATAGTCATCCTCAGAAATGGCTGAAGCAGAATGAACCTGGATAAACACACCTCCGTGCTGAACAGGTTGTTCTCAATAGCAACAGGAAAAGAAGGAAATACAGCTTTATTCCGCTCTGCAGTTACTTTCAGCTCCATGAGGACAAAGCCAACAACACTTTCTATTTAAAACTCATTTTGAAGATTAATTTGAACTTTCGGGGTGTGTTAAAATGCTTTCGCTTTGTGAAGAGGAATTTCTCACAGAATGATGTAATCAAGAGCAATTTTCTGAGATTTTTTCTCACCTGGTCCCTCTCAAATTACACACCATAGAAAATACGTCTAAAGAAAAATAGTTCTATCATATTTTGAGGATCTGTTGTTTTGTGCATCTCACTTAGCATCCTCTGGGACAACAGTAATTTTTTGTTTAAAAAAGGAGAAAAAATGTCTTTTGCATGTATCTGACATTCAGCTGTATCTTAGCAAGCAAAACAGGGAGCTAAACTTTCAGAAAGTCTGAAACCTAATACAAAATTATACTGGCTTTTAATAGTGCCTAATTTAAAGATAAATTAGAGACATGTCTGTCAATCACAGAATTAAACATTCATGCTTATAATAAGAAATACTGGCAAGCTTCTTATTTGTTCATCATTTTGTACCTTTTCCAGTTGTATTCTAGAATCAGTGTCCTACAGTCTTTTCAATTCTCAGAGGAGCTCCTAAGGAACACAAAAGCCAAGGCAAAGAAACAGTACTTCACCTTGTTTGAGAAGGCTGCTCCAAATGCCTCCTGCTACCAAATGAGAGAATGTCCAACACTTCTGTAAATTAATGATTTTAAGGTCAGGAGTCCTGTCATGAAATATATTCTTACTGGAGTAGTTGGTTTCTTGGTTTCAGAGTCATAAAGGAAAAAACCACTGGCAGTAAGAAAACAGTACAAGAAGAAATGCTGGAGCAGCCTAAGCCAGCAGGTTGGGAGCCAGTTAAAAGGAAGTTGCTCTGTTCAACAAGTGTGTTTCAGGAGTTAAACTTGTTACCATTTTAGATACAGTTCTTTCTGCTTATTGATATAGTGTAATTAGCAGCCTGTTTAATTAAGACAGCTATTAAAAGAGCAGATCCTTTGTCCTTTATTAGTTTTATTCTTGAAACAACCATAAAGCAACCCGCAGCTGTATGTCACGTTAAGTCATTCGATGTATTGCTGTATAAATTGCTTGTGAATTATATATGAGAAAAAAATCATTCTCAAGAAATATTAGAAGAGGTCTTGTGTCTACAAGCCTAACTAATGAAACATTTTTTTTCCTACATCATATCCAGTTTTAAGATTCATATTATTGCCATAGTAGTCTCTAGCTAGACTGAAAGTCATTCAGGATAATGTGGTTTCAGGAGGGCATTCACTGTTTATTCACAGCATTTTCCACTACTATCTGGCACATAATGCAAGTTATTAGAAGAACAAAAAAGTATTGTGTCTTACATTGTTAAGAGGAAATTGGGTCTGGTGACATAGAGTGTGCACATGAAAAGGATGTAGAAAGTGCCCTAGGAGCAAATATCACTGTTGAGTAAAGGAAACTCTGTTAGCTGCAAATCTCTCTTACTTATCAGAAGTGGGGGGCAGAGGGGGTAGAGGAAGGAAAACAAAACTTAACTGTTGATTTTATTATTATCAGTATTATTTAAGATGACGCGTATGTGTCAGAGATCCATGAACTCTCTGATGCCATGAATTGTTTTCTTTTTAGTATTTTTGTGTTATTATAATATGGTAGTGGATTGAGAGAGCTTGGGCAAGGATTGTGAATGTTATAACAATAACTTCTCATTAAAAAAAAAAAAAAATATATATATATATATAGTATTAGTTACTTGTGAAGCTGCCAGTAATGCAGAGCTAGCTGTTGTGGATGTTGTGTATTCTATTCACAGCATTCAAGGGGAGATCCTTTAGAAATTAGCTCATTACTTATCCCTTCAAAAACTGTGTTTTTATGAAAAGGCATTTTATACAGATGACCATAAACCAAGCATGGCTCAATATGCCACATTCTGTAGCTCTTTGCAATGTTACACATCCACGAGAGTTGACAGGGAGATGCTCATTGTTAAAAGCCATCCAGTGTTAGCAGAAATGTGGCACGAAGCAGGTTGAATGCGTGATAGCTGGTGGCACTTTGAACGCACTCTATTCAAATGTCAGATTAGTATAATAAAGCGATTTGATGGGTTTTTGGGTTGAGGTTTGTTTTGTTTTGCATTGTGCTTAGCACAGGCTCTACAAATCTAGTGCAGTGGTCATTTCCTGCTGAGTCAGAATGCAGCAAAGCTGTTGGAATGTGAATGCAGTGCAGTGGTCATGGGAAATGGTTGTTTTCTGGTCTATGCTGAAGAAGTGGCTGCAGTTTGGGAAAGCTAGAATGACCACAAAGAACTTCTAAGAGAAGTTGGAAGGAAAGTATTTTGATATGTTTTTAAAACCCTACTTTCAAAGCACGTTTTTTTTCCCTAGCTACTTTGCTGTATTTTTTTTTCCTGAGTGAATTGCTAACATTTGTGAATATGTGGATGCTAGATGAGATAATGCTTCAGAGCATTTTAGCATGTAACATTGGAAGAGGCTTCAAATCACCAACAGATCTGTTAAGATATCTCTGCATTACCTAACAGAAGTTATTTCAATAAATGGGATTTACCCAATATATTTCTCTAACCAGAAATCTTAGCATGTGAATATTTCCATCCAAACCAGAGGAGTTGGACTCCTTTTTCTCTTTCAACAGAATTGGCTGTAAGGTCTCCTGGCTGAATTGCTGCTCTACTGATTTTGTTTCTCTCCCTTCCACCAGTTGTTTCCTGTGTGGAGGAGAATAGGCATTTCCTGTGCTCCCTACAAGTGAATCTTTGCAAGAACTTCTTTTTCTTGGAAAGTAAGTTTCTCTGCATTAATTTCTCTCTCTGTACTTTTCTCTTTTTCCTTCTCCTATTCCATAAATGCACTTGGGTTGCATTTAGAAGAAACTCTTTGAAAGCCTTTGAAAATATCATGCTGGGTAGGTCACTGGGTGATGATATCTTAAATAAGTTAATTACTGACCTCCTGTATTCATGTGCCAGTATTTCACATACAACCCAAAATTCCACTCACTGAACAAGCGTTAGAGATAAGTAATAAATGTTGGCTTCATAATCTGGACGAGGATCAGCTTTCATTGGAGAAGAGAAGGAAAAGTTTCCCATCTACTTTGCCCTGCATACTGAGCTCTGACGTTGAGCTCTCAGTCTACATCCAATTGTTTCTGGAGCCTTGGAAGCACGCTTTGCCTGTGGAGTGTTTGATAAACAGAGCTTCTCATACAGACCACATGAGGTGAGTTATGGATACCAAACACAAAATCCTGGAATAATTTGGATTGGAAGCCATCTCAGAGGCTTAATCCCCTCACTGAAAGAAGGGTCAAGTTCCAAGAGAGAGCAGCCTGTAGAGGGTTGTATCCAGTCATGCCTCCCTATCTGCAAGGCTGAAGACTTCATTCTCACCTCCCTCAGTAATTGGTGTATCAAGTATGAGTTTTCTAATTACTATTATTTGACCTAATATACCTAATTGGAATTCCTCATTGAAATCAAGTTTTATTTAAAAATTTGAATTTTCCATTAGAAACTACATTTTTTGTTTTCAAAGGAAAGAATTTCTAACTGTAAAGCAGAAGTGAGCACTAATCACACCAGAACACATAAGGAGAAATAGGAGAAATGCAGCATCTGAACTTAGCCAAAGAAAAAAGATACCAAGCAATAACGTTTGAAAACATTAATATATTTTGAAGAGGCCATGAGAAGAACATGCTGAAAGTAGCTCTATCTTGCACGGTGCAAGCAGTAAAAGAAGCATAGTAAATATATAGTTTGTAGAACAGCTCATGAATTAAACTGCAAAGAGGATCGAGCATGGTGGGTATGTTCTGGAAATGAAGTTAATGTTCCCAGTTTACTATCTGGGACTTGCAATGGAATTGTTAGTTCTTTTATTAAAGCTGAATTTGGCTACCTAAAAACGCTAGAATCAGGAGACTTTCAGTTTGAAAACTGATTCAGGCTGAAGTGATACGTGTATGGATGTAATTGGTTGAGAAGTGGGTTGTTTTTTGTGAAAACAAGGAATATTCACTAGAAAAATAAACATTAAAATCTGAAGAGTTTTCTAGTTGGTGGTTTTCAGAGGACATTTATAGTTTTCTATGGGAAGCAGGCAAATGTTCCGGAAGTTTTTTGGTTGATCAGAAATCTACTTTTAAATCATGGGATGATACGTGGCAGTCTGAGTTGTGAGGCACTTTCTCCCCATTCTCCAAGCTACTTCCAATGATTTACCAGCTGTTCTGGCTATCTGAGAAGGTCTCCGTTGACTGGAGGATGGCAAATGTGACACTCATCTACAGGAAGCACAGGAAGGGGGACTTGTGGAATGGCAGGTCAAGTTAGTCTGACATCGATGCCAGGGAAAGTCATGGAGCAGGCCATCACGAGCACATCGCACAGCACATACAGGATAACCAAGTGACCAGTCAAGTCAGCATGGCTTCAGGAAAGGCAGATCCTACTTAATTAACCTGATTTCCTATGTGACCCACATAGGGTTGAAGCTGAAGAACCCGCTTTTCCACAAGCTCTGATCAGCACTGTGCTCAGCAGCTATATGAAGGAACAGGAAAATGAGTAATTCCACAGGCACAATTAAGAAATCCTGATATTTTCCAAATTTGTTGCATGTCCCCACTTGCCATTTTTCAGTAACCCCACTCCTCTTCAGTGTCCCCTCCTCCCTCCTCTTCGTTTCCTAAGAGTACCACCACCTTCCTCCTGTAATGCTCTCTCTGGTTGAACATCAGGCAGCACGTGGCTTGTTCAGAGCAGATCTGGCTGCCTGCTGATTGACCATTGCCCTGCAGCAAGAGTGATAGTTATTATAAATCTCTCTCCCCCTCCTCTGTCCCAACAGCCAGTCTTCACACTTTTTTTAGAAACTCAATTATCTTCACTACTGCTGCACCTCTTTCAATTTGTTTGAAATTGGAAAGCAGGTTCAGAAGTTACCAAGAAAGACAGAAGGACCACAGGTTAGGTCTCATTGCCTTAGGAAACTAAGCTTTAAACAAGGATTCACAGGTTAATCAGTCAGTCACTGCTTAGCTTGCATCTTCTACTGAGAATTTCATAGGTGGGGGGGAATTGCAGTGACTCACAAAGTAGTTTTATCAGCATAACTGTTGTAGAGGTCTCATATGCCACATGAAAAAAGAAAATACTATGGAGGCATATTTGCAAAGGAAGCTAAGGCTGTAAAAAGTCGGACTTCCTTGTTTCACCTGCAACAGCTTTTCCCCTTCTTTGTTTTCCACTGAAATTCCACATTATCTTTTTCAGATGGGCACCTGGCTTGGAGGAGATGCAGTAGCTCAAAATGGATGACTTCTACTGATGCTTCTTGACAATTTCATCTCCTCTTTTCCTGTTTGAGATGGCTGATACGATCATCAGGAAAAATTTCTAAACTAAGCCTGAGTGACGACGTCTCTTTCCCCTAACTCCTCTTTTCACAAATCTGCAAACCATCAGACAAAATGAGCAGTCCACTACAAGAGGAGTCTGCAGAGCCCCAGAGCTCAGATGAGCTTGAGTGCAAGATCTGCTACAATCGCTACAACCTGCGACAGAGAAAACCAAAAGTGCTGGAGTGTTGTCACCGAGTATGTGCCAAATGCCTCTGCAAGATCATAGACTTTGGCGATTCTCCTCAAGGAGTCATAGTTTGCCCATTTTGCAGGTTTGAAACATGCCTGCCAGACGATGAGGTTAGTAGTCTTCCCGATGACAATAACATCCTTCTGAATTTAGCTTGTGGGGGAAAGGGAAAGAAGTGCCTACCAGACAACCCAACGGAACTGCTGCTGACTCCCAAAAGGTTGGCGTCTCTGGTTAGCCCTTCTCACACCTCTTCGAATTGCTTGGTTATAACAATCATGGAAGTACAAAGAGAGAGTCCCCAGACTCTGAACTCGACACCCGTGGTGGAATTTTACAGGCCTACGAGTTTTGACTCTGTTGCAACTGTGTCCCACAACTGGACAGTGTGGAACTGCACATCTTTGCTCTTCCAGACCTCAATTCGGGTGCTAGTTTGGTTGCTGGGGTTGCTGTACTTCAGTTCCTTGCCTTTAGGGATTTACTTACTGGTATCTAAGAAAGTCACCCTTGGGGTTGTCTTCGTAAGCCTTGTTCCCTCGAGCCTTGTTATTCTCATGGTTTATGGCTTTTGCCAGTGTGTTTGCCATGAATTTCTAGACTGTGTGTCTTCTTGACAACAAATGCAGTGAAATAAGGTACACTGCCACATGTGTAGCATAGTTGATTTAGCCCGTCTTTATATTCTTATTTATTTTTATCATTGACCATCCCACTGAGTGAAAGCAGTGACCCATGTTATGCAGTTCTTTTTACAATTTGATTATTTATTGTTTTCTCTTTATTTTCCTTTTAGCTAAGTAATGACATAAAATTTCCATGTTTTAAAGGGCTGGGTTGTAGAAAGGGGTAATGGAAAATTGCCAAACTTGGTGTCTGCTGCTGCTGTTCAAATAAGTAGCCCCTTGCTTTTTGTTGGCTAGATCGTGCAATATGAGGGTGCAGGATCTGCCTTAGGAGAAGTTAGTATAACAGGCACCTTCCAGTTCAATGTGTAGCATCTCTTAATGCAGAGAATCTCGTGCTCTGGGATATCTGTTATTTCTGGTAGCAAATGAAATCATTTAGTTAATAAGAATAAGACAAGTTAACGTTTGCTCTTTCCAGTTCTTGTTACAGCAAAAATATTTGTGGGGTGCCCAGTGGTCACAGATTTTTGGTGTTCTACAGCATGATGAACCTTTTCCTCATGCTAACAACACATCTCCAAAACACTTTCCCCATGCACTTTGCTTGTCCAATAGTTGCAGCTTCATCTCGTGCAATGGATTACTTCCATTAGCCACGTTTGTTCTCATCTAGGTGCGCTAAATAAGTATGTGTAACTCTTAGCTTCCTTTGAGAGTTCAGAGATCTGCAAACTACTCTGGTTGTGTCCCATAATGTTTACCTTCACTCCAAGCATTTCCACCACCACACCGCATTTCCAACCTTTTAGTTCCTGCAACAAAAGCACGCCTACATTTAGGCAGCTACACTGGAAAATCTTGCCTATGTGACTTTAGCTGTAATCATAGATCTTTTTGCCTGATCGTGAGGACGTGGACTTTCACTGCCTAACACACGTTTCAGAAAAATTCTGGAATGATTAATATGTGAGGGGAGGGTTCTGCTTTTTTGGGTGGTTTTTTGCTTTTTTGTTTGTTTGTTTGTTTTCCGATTCCACAGGATAAGCACTGTGATAAGTTACTATTACTCTGGGAAGGATTCTGTTTTGTGCATAGTCCTTCAAAATATTTAACACTCTGAACTCCCTCTGTCACCGTTGTGAGTTGATGGCACCCCAGCTGTGGCAATTAGTGCAACTTGACTGTTGAATTCAGAGGAATTAGTGGCGATTTACTATTCCATAAATACAATCAGGCCCTACGAGGTTTGCTTCTACGCTGTGTGGTTGAGGCTAAATTTTCAACTACTGGAAGAGCACAAAAATAGGAAATGTTTAATATTTGTGTTTATGACCAAGTCTGGTCCACGCCGCAGCTGCAGCCTGGTTTTCCTGTGCACAGCAGAGTGAAAAATGAGAAGCAGCAGATGATCAGTGGAAGCACAGCTTTCGGATCAGGCACGAAATGGAGCGACCTCAAGGCGCAGTAAGGGGAAGATGGGTTGGTTGCAGGAAGGCTGACTAGATGGCCTAACAATATGTTCTTAACAAAATGACTTTGGTAAGAGTAGAAGACGTTGAGGGGGAAAAGGAGAGCTTAAGTGGTGGCTGTGTCTATCAAGAGGGTCTGAAGTCAAATCAGTCCAATTTTTGTAGCTGGCACAGATAACACCTATGGTTTCATTGCTATTTGAAATCGTAGGAGAAATGTGAAATGTGAAGGTCTCGCTTTTCTTGACACTCAAGTTTATAATAGTGCATATATGTGTGTGTATGTATATATGGACACATATGTAAGAAGAAAACCTATAGCAAAATTATAGTTTTCAAGTGTGTGGAGTTGCAGAGCTTTGTATTGAATGATTAAAGGAAATGTTTCCAACTTCTCTGTCATCACTGGATAACGATTAGAACTAAAACATTTTCAGAATTCCTAGAAATGACTATTCCTAAGTAATTGTTTTGATGTTTGTGGTAAAGCATATAGAGTTAGAAGAGCTGTGTTCCCCAATCCCCGTATACTGCAAGGTTTGACTCATCTATGAATTCATAAATTTTCAATCTCCAACAATAATCATGTCAAAAAAGCAAGAAAGATAGAAATCTATGTGGTTTAATGGTACTTCATAACTTTGGGAGAAGATGTATTTGTGTGTTAGGGATTTATGTGATTTAGGGTATGTTCAATTTGTCTGAATATGATATCTTTAATAAAGGGCTGGCTAATACAGGATGTAGGTTTTGCAAATGTGTGATATATCTGTGTTCCTTCTGCACAACATGCCTGCAGTGCTACTGTTGTCTCTTCCATTTTATTATTTCCCAGTTCATTATGATCATTTTAGCTCCAGCATCAGGTATTTTGTACTCTGTTTTACAACAGAGCCTCATCTTGGCAGGATTGCAAGGTACCAGTTACATATCACAGCACAAACAAATACACTTGTTGTGTTACACTTCACTATTTTTTAAGAGTGCCACACAGTTAAATTCACACTGTTATTTTAGACTCTGCAATACTGATCCACTCAAAAATACGAGTGCAGAAAAACACTGATTGTATAGCTGCTAGGCTGCTTACCCAGAGCACATCATTACAGCTTTGTTCTCATAAAATTCCTGTATGACTTAAAATGTGGCAACTGAGGATTGCCAGGGGTTCTGAATCTCAGTTTTTGTAGAAGAAACAGGAGAAGATATTTACTGTGTGACTGAGGCTGGAAGAATTTCAGGTAGTATTCTGCCATTATTTTTATTCTTCACAACCTTTAAGATTGAGAACTGAAAACTCATGGCTCTCACATCCTCTGCAGTGGAATAATTCTGCTGGCCTGTGTAAATGGGTCTGGAATCAAGTCCTGCACACCCTCCTGCCAGTTTTTCCCTCCCTTTCTATGGCTTCTTTCTTTATCTCCTGTGGTCATAAAATACTACATTCATACCAAGAGAATTCTATGGGTAAGATTTTGTTCCTGCTTTGCCCAAACGTGTGAGTCAACAAGGTACAAAGTGTTATAAATTCATTACCACAGGATTATTGTACCCCAAATGATGGTTTTTGTTTTTTAATTCCTGCTTATCTTGTGAGTACAGAGCGTATCCTCATCAGTGCTGCTAGTTTGCAGTACAACGTGGGGCTGTTCCCTGAGGGCTGAATCATGCAGTAGCTTGGGACACGATGTTGGAAGGATGCTGAGCTGGACCTTCCTCTGAGCAGGATCTCATGCAGAATGGAGCATTTCTGCAAGCATGGCCCGAGCCCAGAGCCCATGGGTTACACGAGGAGCAGGCTCCAAGGGAGGCAATGGGCCTTCAGGGCTATGATGTATTGGGCAGTGAGCTGTGGGGCCAGCTGTGGAGCTCAGGGACAGCTGTGGAGATTGAGGGGCACTGAGCAGAATGTTGGACCTTCAGGCAGAGCCATGCAAAGCAGAAAGTGAGCTGTTCCTGGAGCAAAGCTGTGGTGTTCAAGAGAGATGGGAGCAGAGCTGCCAGTAAAGTTTTTCAGACTGATCCTTCTGATTTTTCAAGTTTGTTTGGTAATTAAAAGTCACCTGGCAATTCTACTACAGCTGAGTATTCTCACTTTCTACACGCCAAGTTATTCGCCTTCATAGTTTAAAAAAAAAAAGAGATCCTTAGATTTGGACACAGTTCCTCTATGACATAAACTATTTAAAGCTTTGGTCTGGTAAATGAGATTGACTAAGTCCCATTTGGATTTGCTTTAGCTGCACAGTGAGCTTTGTCTATATATGCCTGCTATATTGACTGTATGCCTGCAAACCTGCATATGGCAATATGGAATGCAATTAAGTAGGTGAAATCTTGTTAACACTGTTCTAATGTCAAAGCAGGCCAAACACATGGCTACGTCCTGCTTTGTCCTGGCTCATCCCAAACCTGTGAGGGGCTGCCTCAATCCTGAGGAGCACCGAGACCTGACTGCCCTGTGTCACCTCTGTGGCTGCTCACTCCAGCTATGGATCTTGCTTTCTGGTAAAGCAGGTGTGGGTCATCATTTCATCTTCCTGTAGGGAAGATGCACAGCATTCCACTCTCAAACAAATTCATTGTAACTACCTTAAGTTTCCTCAGATTTTGTTGTATCACTTCTTTGTGGTTTTTTTTTTTTTTAACAAAACCAAGACTGTGCAATTTATTTAAATGGAGCAGTGCCTTCAAGCGGAAAAAAATGGGGGAAGAAGAAGAACTGAAAATCATGGAACCATTTTAAGACCTACAAAGTGATGGGAAGAGACTGTTCTGAGTGTCAACGTTTTCTTTCGTGCTGGCAGATTAGATGTTATCCTTTAAGTGACACCAGTAAACATTCAGTGCAGGAGAGTCCTCAGGGAGTTTATACGTTGGCACGAAACCTCCTTCCAATGGTTTTCTGTACATCATTCTGCCTCCTGCATCAGCTCTCCTAGTTGGAGCCTCACAGTTTCAGAAGCTCTGGTTGAGAAAATAGATCCCCCATGTGGGGATGCTAAATTACCTTTCCAGAGACGTGTGTGGCAGTTACAAAGCTTTCAGTGCTAGACCTTAAACAAAGAGAAGTCATCTCACAGTTTGAATTGGTAGCATAAATTTCAGTTTAAATCAAATTTCATTGTGTTTGGCAATGCTACAGCTAAAATCATTTTATTGTGTTTCTGCCTCCTGCTTGTGTTACGTGAATGTGGTTTGCATTTAAAAAAATGTATTAAATCATAAAAACCAGAGATGGTTGGAAAAAATCCAAAGAAAGCATTCTGTCTGTTTCCTCTGTCCCTGTAGAGATGAATGCTTTGTCTGCCCTGGGTTTAAATGCCTCAGGTGATGAGGCCTCCACCTCTTCTCTTCAGACTTTTCAGCCATTTAATAGACATCTTTGTTAGGAAATGTTTTCTTTGTATTGAGCTTGATTTTTTTTTTCCTTCTGCATAATGCAGTTCCTTTATTCTGCTCCCACTGTTTTCAGCTTTCATGAAATCTGTGAATGTATCGTATCACATTATGAAGACAGACTGAGAGCTGGGGCTCTTGAGCCTGCAGGAGAGAAGGCTCTGAGCGGACCCTAGAGCAGCATTCCAGTACCTGAAGGGGCCTGCAGGAGGGCTGGGAAGGGACTTGTTATAAGGGTGGGTAGCAACAGGATAAAGGGAAATGGTTTTAAACTGGAAGAGGGTAGATTTAGACTAGATATTAGGAAGTAATTCTTTACTGTGAGGGTGGTGAGACCTTGGAACAAGTTGCCTGGCAAGGTATAGATGCCCCCTCCCTGGAAGCATTGAAGGCCAGGCTGGATGGAGCTTTGAGCAACCTGGTCTAGAGGGAGGTGTCCATGCACAAAGCAGGGAGTTGGAACTGGATGATCTTAAAGGTCCCTTCCAGCCCAAACTGTTCTATGATTCTATGTTTGATTCTGTGATAAGCTCTTCCATACCATAGTTGAACAATTCATATTCCTTGTTGTTCTAGACAAGCAACCAGTTGCTGAACAGTGACGCTTTGCTGGGACAGCATGCCATGTATCAGAAAACACATTTCCTGGCAACTCCTGGCTGACACTTCTTTCTAGAATAGGGAGTGAAAAATGTCAAGCAAAACTGAAGAAATGCATCTTCCCAGGGGCATCCATGGCAATATTACTGACATTTCCTCAGGTGTTGAGGCAAGCAGCCTGCTTCCTTAGATTGAGATTTTCTGTACAAAAGCAGATGATTTTAATGAAAACAGTTGCTTTTAAAAAGCATCTTAGAAGCTTTTTTCAAAAGGAAACCTCTGTGTGAGAGCCCTGCTATGTCAAAACTCTTATCTTATTGAGAGACAAGACCGTATTGATTGCCACTCACTGCAGAGCAGTTTTTGCTGACAGCTTAGCTCAGATGAAAAATTGAATTGGGTGTTAAGGAGAACAGTTTGAAAAGATGCTTTTGCAACTGTGTCTCTGGAATCAGATCTGTGCATGAAAATGTGACTCATATCTTGACAACAGAAACATTGCATTGCCAATTGAATTACAACATCCTAGATAATCCTCAGCCCATCTGAAATGATAAGGAGTAGTGTGGCCAAAGGAAACTCAAGGTGGGCAGATGTAAAAGAAGTGGTACTGAGCTTTGAAAGCTGCTCTGATCCTGGATCAGGTGGACGGGCTGCTGATCCAAGAAAGGTCTCTGACAGTGACTGGTGGTGAATGCAAGCAAAAAAACAAATGGGCAGCTCACACGGACAGTGAGCTTACAGTGTATTTCCTCACTTATGGCAGCCTTCAACCTGGAGACCTGTTGAGACGGGGCTTATATCTGTCTGTGGTTTTGATTCTTGCCTTTGGATTTCCATTTTGACATTCACAAAATCCTACAGCACTAAGTTCCATAATTTAATTACACACTTTATCAAAAAGGTCTACTTTGTCTCAAATGTTTCTAAGATAACAGTGATGTATCCTCAACTTTTCTTGTTGTGAATAGCAGTTCCAAGGTGTGAATCTTGGTCAGAATCACAGAACTGTAGGGACTGGAAGGGACCTCCAGAGACCATAGAGTCCAATCCCTCTGCCAAAGCAGGTTCCCTGCAGCAGATCACGCAGGTTGGTAGGTGTCCAGATGGGTCTTGAATATCTCCAGAGAAGGAGACTCCACAGCTTCTCTGTGCAGCCTGTTCCAGTGCTCCGTCACCATGAGAGTAAAGAAGTTCTTCCTTGTGTTTGTATTGGTCACTTCCTCTGCACTACCTGATCTCTATAAATATGAATGTTATGATTTTATCCATTATGCTTCTCCTTCGCTGCCTCTTGTCCAAACTGGAGGTGCTACCCAGTTTGACCTCTTCTCCTACAAAAGTCTTTCCATACTTGATACAGCCATTGCATTGGCCTGAACCTTTTCTACTGCTTTCTTTTTTGTTTCAAGGTGGAGAGAAGCCCTCAGAAATAAGTTCTAAAGGCAGTTAATGTCATTTGTTAGCAAGTCAAGAAAAAGTGTGAGACGTGTGTACCACGTTCTAGTCAGTCTGTTTGCACCAGTGAATGCAGGAGCTGGTAGGCTCCAGGATAGCACTTCATTTAAACTTGACATAGACTGTACAGATTGACTCAATTAAACATGTGGCTTGATACTGCTGGACTGAGTGGTTGCTGATGGATGAGCACTGTGAGATGCCTTTTCCTCTCTGCTATGATGTACACCCACCTCACTCCTTTGCTGCTGCCATCCCAAGCTAACTTCTAGAGCTTTCCATTGCAAAAATGCCTCTTCTTCTTTTTTTTTTTTAATCTTTATGTCCAAAAGGCTTTTGGCCTGTTCTCCTATGTTCAGAGGAGATGTTGACAGGTGGAAACAATAAAGAAAATACTGATTAGAGAGTAAGCCCTTAGTGTCTGTCCTTTCTATTGCCAGTTAGGGCCAAAGTTAGTGCCTTCAGTTCCAAGGGCTGCAAAGGACTGACTTAGCAGACTCCAGTGAAATATCACCAGAGGAAGTTTTTCACCCAGAGGGTGGTGAGGCACTGGAACAGGTTGCCCAAGGAGGCTGTGGATGCCCCATCCCTGGAGGCATTCAAGGCCAGGCTGGATGTGGCTCTGGGCAGCCTGGTCTGCTGGTTGGCGACCTGCACATAGCAGGAGGTTGGAACTGGATGAGCACTGTGGTCCCTTTCAACCCAGGCCATTCTATGATCAACACACTGCAATGTGTAACTTGTGATCCAACTCCCGAAAACTAAGAAAAGGAAAGATTTTAAAGTACTTTGCTTTACCATGTACTTTGGCTCCTAAAACCCACTGTTGTAAATCACTGATCAGCTTGAGGATTATCAAATGTAGTGCATAACATGCATTTTATGGGCAGACTTTGACTGCTGTAAAGCTGCCTTCTGCACTTGTGTTTTTTAGTTTTATGAAGAGAAGCCAGTGTAGGGATGTCTTTTTGTTCATTTTCAGGAGTAAAACAATGAACTACAATGTAATCTTTCAGACACAGAAAGGATAACTTGGTAGTAAATGACAAAGCTATAACTTGCCATCTAAAATAATGAAGCGCTAATGTAAAAGCAATTGTTTCACTCAATAAAAAAATAATTTTTCAGAAAAGATTTGTCATGACAAGCATATTTCTCAACGCCTTGATTTGGACATCCTTCAGATTTAATTCCTGCTATTCACTGGATCAGTTTAAAAAATAGATTAAGGGTATCACACAGCTGT